CGACACTGAGGGTTGCGATCCATTGCCAGACACGGAAAAAGACAAAAAAAAAAAAAAGAAACCTAAGGTCAAGTTTACCCTGAAACAGGGGAAGTGGAGCCAGAGAATACCAGGAATGCTCTGGAATTAGAGAGACCTGGTACCTCTGAAAGACGGGTGAGAGGCTGCATTAAAAATAAGAGGACTGTTTGGAAGTCTGCATAAGAAGCAGCAAATTCCCACCAAATTCCTATATCCTCCAGTCCCACTTCCCAACACCGCACAGCCAGATGACTACTCTTTTCTAGGCCTAGTAGGAAACTAGACGTTACTCTCTAGTCAAACTGATCAGAATGTTTCTGAACTCAGGATCACAAGGTAGAGATGGGACTATGGGGCCTGAATGAAAATGGAGAGATTAACTGAAAGTATATACCTAATGACTGGATTCCTCAACATATTTCTCCTGGTCAGGATACATATAACCTTTGACCCAAAACTGCATCCTAGGTATAAGAAATTCTTACCTAACTCCAAAAGTGAAACATAAGGAAATTTTCTGCAGCATTACATGTGGAGGCAGAGATCTGAAGACAACCTAGTTGTCCATTACCAGGAAAATGGACAGGTAAAATGTGTTCACAGTACCATTTATGTAAATTTTTTAAAGGGACATACAAGAACATACACCAATAAAAAGATACGCAGTAAGCACATTAGAATGGTTACCTATGGGGGAAAGGGTGACTGGAGTGGGACATGTAAATGAAGAGGAATTGTAAAAAATATGATAAATAGCACAAAATAAAATGGTAGAAAAAGTCCAAATATCACAGCAATAATTTTAATAATTATAATAACATCAATTTAAATAATACAATTATATATAATTATATAATTACAGTAAAATTAATTTTAATTATAATCGTAATTATAATAAATGATTAATTATATGATATTATTATAATAATACATTTAAATAGACCAAACATGTCAGTTAAAAGACAGGTTGTCACGTTAGATTTCTTTTTCTTTCTTTACTTTTGTTTTTTTCTTTTTTCTTTTTCAAATCTAACACTTTCCTTATCTTTTTTCAAACTCCCATTATATTTTAAAAATCCAGCTTACACTTTACAAGAAAAATACTTGNTTTTTTCAAACTCCCATTATATTTTAAAAATCCAGCTTACACTTTACAAGAAAAATACTTGAAACTTAAAGACACAGAAGGTTGAAAGTAAAAGTATGAAAAAGTTATACCTGTTACATACCTAGCAAAATATATTGAAAGATGTTACTGGCAGATAAAATATTTTTGAAAACAAATAGAATTACTAGAGATAAAGAGTCACTACATAAGAATAAATTTTCAATGTCCTAGTGAAACACATATAATTTTTAACAACTAAGTCTATAGAAGATTTGAGCAACATGATTAACAAACTTGACCTGATAGACATATACAATATTCATTCACTATAGAACTCAGCAGCTAACAAGCATTGAATGTACATTGTTTCCAAGCTTATGTGGAATACAATAAAAACGTGATTATATAGCAGACAATAAACATGTCTCAACAAATTTCAAAGGACTGAATAATACAGACCACTTTTTAGACCAAAATGAAGCTAGAAATTAATAACAAAAAGGCAACTAGAGAACCTCCATATGTCTGGGAATTAAGAAAGTATACTTCTCAAAGAAGAAATTATAATACAACTTATAAAATATTTATTTTATTTTTTTATTTATTTTATTTATTTTTTATTTTTTATTTTTTTGTGTGTGACCGGTAAGGGGATCACAACCCTTGGCTTGGTGTCGT